CGGGGGAGGGAGCAGTCAGAGAACTTTGGGGACATTTTCAAAACTGGAGGTCGTTCAGAGGAAATTACTCAATAAAAACCAGGTTTCTCTAACTGAATAGATCAATTTACAGCTCATAAGGTGGAAAAAGTCTGAGACTTCGAGATTCTGGTTGGGCGGGTCTCCTAAGGTTTTCTCCCTTGGCAGAGAGACTGTGGCTTTGGCTCTCCCAGGCTAGGCACCCCTTCTGTAGCTTTCAGGACCAGCATTTTTCTTTCGTCTTGTTTCTCTCTTTCTCTGCACTTAAATTTTTCTGGTTACGATTCCTCGCCTCCTCTCTTACAAGCCTCCCACTTTCAACTTTCACGTCCCTGTAGTCCTATTAGAGAAGCCCCTGTTGTTTTTGTTTTCCAGATAATACAAGTTCTTTTTCCATGATTCCCACTTCTCAGTTGCCTCCCACTCCCCCTGCCCCCCAGCCCCATGGCTAGTCTCATTGCCTCTCTTCCCTCTGTTTTTCCTTCAGGTCCCCAAAGCTTCTGCCTTTCTCCTCCAGCTGCCCATGGTCTGTTTTTCTGCACACCTCTCAACCTCTCTATTTCTCCCTCTCTGCCTTTTACCTTCCCAGCCCTTCTCTTTGGTTGCTCTCTTGGCCTTTCTCAGTTGCTACTGCAGTAATTCATCATGAGCATCCAGTAACACCATCACCTATTGATTGGGCTTCTTTAAGTTTGCAAGAGAGTTCTCAGGGAGGCAGGATCATAGAAAGATGAACAGGGCCCCGATGGAGCTATATTGAAATTCCATCATCCATCAATCATCATTCATCCATGCCTCCATCATCCATCTATCCATCTATCCACCCATCTACCCATCCATTTATCCATCCAAACCTTCATCTAATCTTTCATTGATTTATTCATTCAACAAACAGTCACTGAAATGTGCTATATGCTAGGTCCTGGGCTAGGTACTTGAGAGAGAATGGTGGTTCAGTATAGACATGAGTCTTGACTTCAGCAAGGGCTAAGGAGAGGTATATGGTACCAAGAGACCATCTCGGCCGGATTTAACCTACTTAGGAATGGAGAATGAGGCTGAGATATGAAGAACATGCAGACAGTGAGCATCCTTTTGAGAAAGCCTGACACTCCTCATCCTTACCAAACCCTCTCCCATTTGCTGTCCAAGGACTCTAGTTCTTCTAGCAAAGTCAAGGCTGTTGGGCCATAGACTTCAAGTGCAACACATCCTATGACCTGTTAACATTGACTAAAATATATTCAGTCAAGCGGTAAATAATGGACATCAGTCCTTTCCTGGGAACCAGCTTTATTAGGGAGTAGAAGGAGCATTTGATACCTGGAGGTGGGAGATGGTGAGGAAGAGAGTTGTGTCTAGTGTGTGGATACCCCTAGGATGACATGCTCACTCTACATGGGGCCAAGGGTGGACTCTGTAGGTCTGAGTGACCAGCATATACTTCCTTCCCAGCCTACTCTTCCAGGTGTCAGCTGGCTGGCCCAGCAAGCTGCTCCTTCCTCCTTTGGGGCCTCAGTCCTTCCATAAACTTTGGAGACCAGGCAGTTGTAGAAGCCCGGCACCTCCCTCTTCCCTCTCACTGGCACTGGTCACAAATTCAAAGCGGCCTTGGGTTTCATGGCTTGATGGCCTGGTAATTGTTATTGGAACTCGCCTTGGATGGATTTATGGTAATGAACTCACCTAATAGCAGACTCATCACAGGCCTCTTTGCAGACAGGATCTTTCCTGAGTGAAGATATTAGAAAACCGTTCTGCAAAGGAAAAGCAATACTGACTGGTGGCTTCAAGTTTAAGAAAAAACACCACTGTTTGGGTTTTTCTGTTGGCCTCTAACTTTAAACACTTCATTGGCCAGTTGCTAACCAACATGGTTTTTGGCCAAGATCCTGTTTATGTTGGCACCAAATGTATATATCACAAGCAGTTTGGGTGTTTCTGGGCATCTGTGTCTATGTGTGTACGCGTCTGTGTATGTTACAAACGCCAAAACTTTTGAACACAAGGTTTTGTGCTCTTTTTGCAGATTCTTCTCGCCAAGAAATCAGGCAACTAGCAGGCAGGGCATCCTTACGCATTACTGACTTACTTTCAGGTCACCCTACTCCATTGCAGCCCCCTCTGGCTTGGCCTGGCCTGGCATTGTGCTCTCTGTCCTCCCTGGCCTCCTGTCCTACTGAGTTACAAATGAGTGAGGTGGCCACTGCCGAGTGAAAGGGACACTGGAGACAGTGGGTGCTTTCTGTGTCACCTCAGTCTGCAGGACCTGAAGACCAGTCATCAGGAATGCTTGGGACAAGGAATTTTCTCCTAGCTGGGGCCAGAAAGGCTCCATGATTTTGTGGCTTGGCATTAAGCAAACAGCCGCTTTTTTGTTCTCTCCTCAAATTATTTGTCCAAACAAAAGGCAACTGTCATGGGAAGAAAAGTACAATTTTTCCAGCGTTTGCCCCTTTATGTGCCTCTTCTCACAGCATGCTTTCTGACTGGGCATTTCCACAGCTCAGTGTCGGATTTCCAGCTGACAGCAAGGCAGGGTTTGCTGCTCTGGAATGTGAAAGCCACCTTCTGTGACCCAATGCAACTGCAGAGCAAAAGGCCAGTTTCATAGGATGGCACCTTCCCTGTCCAAAAATCCTAAGGCTTTCCCAAGTCTATAAATTGTGACTCGAGAAACATTCCCTCAGAGACTGAAAGTTGGGGTGAATCCTAGAGGAAAGGCTTTTCCTCAAACTCCCATTTCTTTAGAAAGTTTAGAAGTTGGATCTTCTGTGTAACAACAAATTGTTATTTAATTGTGAGTCATCCTTTAGAAAAGACATGGTTTATCAATTTGTATCTCATTAGAATATGGTAAAATATGCTAAACAATAAAACTAAATGATACAGAATTTAATCTTCCTCTGAAGCTTGTTGGGATTAGACCCTGTCCTTATCTACCCAGCACACTCATGATTCTCTTTCAAGGTTTGGGGCAAATGTCACCCTTCTGTTGGGGACTTCCCCTGTCACCTCACCCAGTGCCACCCTCACTCACTCCTGCAGAATTAGGGCCCCCTCATCCAAGCTCCAATAACAGTCCCAGCACTGGCACATCACAATGTTTACACTTTTTATTCAGAAATAATTTCAGGCTTGTCGAAGAATTGCAAAAAGAGTATAAAGAATTCGTGTATACCAGTGTTTCTCAGTCTTTTCCTCATTATTGCCCCCCAGCCCTTGTACAGATTTTTTTTTTCTAATTGCCTTCTGCCATGAAATTTTAATATCACAGATTTATTGTAAATCTACTTATAAACTCTATGTATATCTGAGCTTTACATGGAAAAATAGTCAGATTTTTTTGCTCCCAAGAACAATTTTCATTCCTTTGAGTACAATATTGCCTCATGGAGAATGCATGCTGTATATCCTTTACCCAAATTCCCCAAATACTAATATTTTCGCATATTTGCTTTATTGTTCTCTCTCTAAGGATATGTGTTTATATATATATATGTATATATTCATACATATACACATTTATTTATACATATTACAGTATACATTTTTCTAAACTGTTTGAGAGTAAGTTGTAGACATGATGCTAAATATTTTAGAGATTTTCTTGTAAACACAGACTTTCTATTTCATTTTAACAAAAAAAAATTTTAAAGCATTTCCGTCTCTTCCACATGGCTGTAATTTTCTCAAGGTCTGCAACCTGTGTCTTAACCATCTTTGGAGACTGAGTATCAGGATAGGGCCTGGGATTTAGAAGGAGCTATTATAAAATAACACATTTCATTAGAATATAGCATATACCATGCAATTCAATATAATTTCCACATAATTTAATAGATGTGATGATAAAATTGTTTCTTTTAATATAAAATATCATGTGCTATACATAGTAATACAAAAGCACATTTTTATTTACAGATGAATGGAAATCTCAGAGCCATCAGGATAAACTTCACTCACAAAGTATTCTGTAGTTTCAGAAGCTGAAAGAAACTAGGCTGAAAATTTAGACTTTGAAAGTTGCTTCAAAAACAGTAAATAACAAAACAAGAAACTGCTCACCTTATGTCAGTTTCATTGAACAAGAAGGGTACTTGGAGTTGGTTGAGCTTGGCACTTGTCACTCCGGTCTCAGCCTTTGTGCTGCTCTTTGGGATGCAGTATAATACAGTAACTCAGACACTCTCTTGTCTTCTTGCATTCATTCACAAATATTTACTGGCAGCCTTCCATTTGACAAGCAAATATTGGAGGATCCTGAATTTTATCTTGTGTTTTCTCTGTGCTAAAAAAGTTACCTATCCCATATTTGCCTTGATTTCATTGATTGCCAAATGGATATTAACATATTGTGCCCTGTACTGTTTCCCAAGTCATTGGTTACTACAGTACAGGGTATGCTGGGGACTGATTGATTTTAATGGATTCTAGAATGAACAATTGTAGAACAAGATTCTGAGGGCTGGGATGACCCAAATAGGACTTATTCCAAGAATTTGGCATCATGGGTTTGAATATACACACTATGAATAAATAGCCATTACATATAATTATACATGTACATATAAAGTATGTGTACATCAAGTTAATTTACTTTAAAATGCATGATATGGCTGGATTAAAGTTTACCAATAAAACATTGACAGTCCTAAGCATAAATGAAAAAATATTGTTAGCCCTTGGTATTCTGACTGCTATTTAAACATTTCCTTGACCTTGAAGACTGCCAAACCCCACTGTGTCTGTGAGACTCCTCCAGGCCATGCAACCTGCTCACCAGGTTACCCAAAACACCACAAGAGAACCCTGAACTTGGGGGGAAAGCTTGGGTTGGGGGTGGGCCCTGAGAAGAGGCTGTGAGGCTCAACAGGTAGAGAGTGAGCATGCATCAAAGATAAATTTTGTTGAAATCACAGTGCTCATGATTGATATTTCCATACTTTGTGCCTTTCATTTCCTTTACAACAAATGGCCAGGAAAAGCTGTTCTCATCTTCCAAACTCTGAGACAAGACATCCAGGGAAAAATCACTGTCAGGACTGAGACAAGTTGTGGCAGAAGCTCCCACATTACTGAATCCTGAGCTGGAGGGACCCAGGTGAGTGACATCTCATCCTGTAATTCTATAAACAAAGTTAAGTCCCTGGGAATGGAAGTGACTTGGTTAAGGTCACAGAACAAGTAACTGGCAGAGTTAAAACTAAAATTGAGATTTGGACCCTCGTCTGGGCACTAGGATATTTTCTTTTTTTATGTGCCCTCACTGGAAAATTTAAACATTAATAGATGAGAATGTGTTTTGTTTTTACTTCTTCAAAAGAAACAGTCTGCATAAATTTAAATACCTTATGCACCATTACTTGAGATGATCAAAGGACTCAATTAGATATCATATTAAACTCATGAGACTAAGAAACGAGGAAGAGGTGTCCTCATCCATTTTTAATTTCCCCATTTTGCAGATGAGAAAAATACAGTCTAGTTGAAGGCAGTGGTGGCACTGTGAACATTCCTTGAAGATCTGGCAGAGTTTGGACAGGGATTTTCTTTCCTAACTCAGATATCTGTGGAGTTTCTACTGGATTAAATTGTCCCTTAATGGTGGGACTAGGTATTTGGGACAAGTGAGTTTGATTTTACTTCCTTCTCATGTCCCCTTTTAAGTATCTCCTCTCTCAGCCCCTACATGCCCACATTAGGATATACACTGGTTCCCTTTTCTTCCCACAACTAGGCTTTTCCCTCTCCTACTGACAGTAGTGCTACACGTCCCAGACTTTTTCCAAACCCCTCTCTCTTTTGAAACGTATCCATCCTGTGTCTGACTGCCTTAGAGCCCCATTTGTCTGCTAGGGCAAAATGGGTCCCATTAGGTCCATCATAAAAATAATCTATATCAATGAATAAAATAGGCAATGTGTTAGCCTATTCATATAACATAATGCCATAACTAATTAAATATGCATATAGTCGAAAATATCCCTCCCTTGTGGTAAACTGAACTGTTTTTGAGATTTTTAGTGCTTTTTTTTTAAATTATATTTACAGCAAGAAAGATAAGATACAAAGTAACTGACTCCTTAAAAACTCTGAATGTTCTTCCATTTTGCAGGAGACACCAGCAGTCATTTTGCAGGAGATACTGATCAGCCCGACAATGAACATCTCTGAACTGTGTAAGTCCAGGGTCAGGATTGGAGGCAGGTCTACCTGAAGTCACAACAATGTCCAACAGGATGAAGAGCCTAAAATTCCAATTCACTGGAAACATGGTTGTGTTCCCTGATGGGAGAATTTAATTTTTCAGTCCTACAGCCTCTAAACCAGCAGAGTTCCAGGAATGAGAAGAGAACATTTAGAAAGTAGAGCATGGGGTGAAATACTAGAGGCCCCTTTCCTGCTTGTGTGCTCTGGGTAGTGGAATCGTGTTTTCTGGCTGTGGAGGAAACACTATATACTGGTTACTGGTTCACAGCCTGTGTCGTGTCCTGCAGGACTCACTTCTAACTCAGAGTATGGTATCTCCCAGATGGAGCTGGAACTGAGTGCTCAAGAGTCCATTCTGAACATTTAAAAAAATCGAATACAGTAGATTTACAATGTTGTGTTGATTTCTGGTGTACAGCATAGTGATTCAGCTTTACATACATATACATATATATTACAAGGTACTGAATATATTTCCCTGTGCTATACAGTAGGACCTTGTTGTTTATCTGTTTTACGTATAGTAGTTAGTATCTGCAAATCCTGTACTCCCAATTGATCCCTCCCCACTTCCTTCCCCCCAACCCCTAGTAACCATAAGTTTGTTTTTCAAGAGTTCATTTTACCATTCCGTAAGGCTGGCTACTTCTGGATGATGGGATACTTAGTAATACCACGAATACCATAAGATTAGTCTGTTGCCTTGCTTCTTTGGTTGAAAAATTACTTCCATAGGCAGGGCACAAAAAGCAAATAGTTAAATGTGATAATTAAACTTCATTAAAGTTAAAAGCTTCAACTCTCTGAGAAACTCTTGACAAAATGAAAGTTAAGTCACAGATTAGAAGAAAGTAATCATGATACATGTATCTGACAAATGACTTGTTTACATTATATAGAGAGAGAACTTTTACAACTCAAAAATAAGAAAAAAGCCATTAAAAATCTGGCAAAATTTGAACACTTAACAGAAGATATAAAAATTAAGCTAATAATCCTTTTAAAAGATGCTCAGCATCATTAAACATCAGGGAATAAAAATTCAAACCATAATGAAATACTACTATACTCCCATTAGAACAGCTAAAATTAAAAACATTGCAAACCATTACCAAACATTGGTAAGCATTTGTAGCAACTGGAACTCTTCTGTATTTCTGATGACATTGTAAGATGGTACAATCACTTTGAAAAACAGTTTGTTGGTTTCTTGTAAAGGTAAATATGCACTAACCATATGCCCCAGAAATTCCACTCCTTAAGTATCTACTCAAGAGAAGCACAAACATATGTCCACATGAATACTCTTCAAGAATATTTATAGTAGCTTTATTCATGAGAATCAAAACCTGGAAACAACCCAAATGTTTATTAATGGACAATGAAATTGTGGTATATCCATATAATGTGTTACTACTCATCAATAAAAAGGAACAAACCACTGATACTATTAATGCATGTGACAGAAGGGAAAAATCTCAAAAATATTACACTGAATGAAAAAAATCCCGATAGAAAAGAGTTCTGCCTGATTCCATTTACATAAGACTCTAGAAAAGACAAATCAAGTCTCTACTGACAGAATCTATGGTTGTCTGGGGCGAGGTTTGGGTGTTGGGATGGGGATTTGTGCAGTGGGGCACAAGAAGTGTTCTGGTTTGATGAAAATGTTTCTATTTTGATTGTGTTGTGGTTTTTCAGGCATATAAATCACCAAAAGTCATTGAACACTAAAATGGGTACATTGTGTTATATATGAATTATACCTCAGTAAACTTGTTTCTTTAAAAAAGTGTATACTCATATGATGTTGGATATAATCACCTGGGGTTCTATCAAGGCTTGGACTTTCCATTGTGAACCTTCTTTCAGGGCTTGACGTGGGTTCCACTGAACTTCCTGAATGGCTGCCAATGCTTCAAGCTCGATTAGATTCATCGGTCAGAAAACCTGTTGGCAGAATAGCTTGTATTGTGGCCTGAATCAGCTTCTCCTGCTTTGGACTCCACTCAAAGAGTAGCCTTATGCATGACTCAGCAACAGGGTCTGAGGAGAACATCCATGTGTGGAATGTATTGGCCCTAAAGAGGGCCAATAAAGGTGTTGCTTGTTCTTAGTAGTGATGGGTGCATGATGCAGCAATTTTTCTTCCACTTGGGAGAAAACATTCTGATATTACAGAGACGTGAACTTCTAGAAATGTCTCTGAAATTCCTGAATTTCCAATGTATGTATCTCCCAACCTTTGACACATACGTGTTTTACCAGGGTATTTGCTCCTAACAGCCTTCCTGGTTGATTAGCCTCATGTTATCTAAACTGTGGTCCAGCATAATGTTCTGTGGGCAGAGGATCAAAACATCCCTCTAATTTAAATTACAGTGTAAAGCAAATAATTAGCATAGTCCCCAGACCAGGATGGTGATTATGTACTGTTATTCCTGTCAGGTAGAGGCAAACTTCTTCTGTTGGAGAAAATGCATTCACTAGATCAACAGCCAGATGGCAGACCTGTAGGGTAAAGAAACAACATCTAGAACAGCAGCTTCAATTGTAGCCATTAGTAACACTTAAAATTAGTAACACTTAAAATAATACACTATCTTTTTCCAAGATCCATCTGTCTTTTGCAAAGGCCAAGTTGGCCAGTTAAATAGAGATGTGATAGATATCACCACCTTTACAACTTTAAAGTCTTTGTTGGTAGACTAACTTCTGCTAGTCCCCCAGGAATATATTACTATTAGTTCATTATTTTGGTACAGAGAGGATTGCTGCAGGTGCTTCTGCTTTGCCTATTCTATTATAAAAACCCCCATTCTCTAAGTCAAGGAGCCAATGTGGTGATTCTACCGGTTGCTGAGTATGTCTGCTTAAACTACATTTTCAGGAACTATGGAAATAACAAAAGAATATGTTCATGGCTGTAGTGGACCCATGAAGAAATAGAAGTAGCCCCAAAATCCTTTTATCAGTGGAATCCTGTAAACATCCTCTTTTGCCTGTGGGTTATGGTGGTTTTCTGGAATGCTACTAAGACTAACATTAGTTCAGAATCAATGTCCCATAATTGCTAAAATGTCCTCTTTTTCTAATGCAAAATTATCCATAACTTTCTTTATAGTCTGCCACAGTGCTTACCATTTCTAATTGCTTCTTAGATCTGTTATGCTCCATATCTTTCTGCTTGCTCTTTCTCTTAGACTGCTAATTGTGGGGGAAGCCAGGTACCAGGTTGTGAGGAGATGCAAGTAGCTCATGGAGAAGCTCATATGAAGAGGAACTGAGGCCTCCTGCCAATGGTCAGCAGCATGTAAGTGAACTACCTTGAAAGTGAATCCTTCAGTGCCAGTAAAGCCTTTAGATGACTGCAGCCCCAGTCAAAATCTTAACTGCACACATCACGAGAACCCTTGACCAAAACTGTTCCAAATTCCTGACCAACACAAACTATGTGAGATGATACATGTTTATTGTGGTTAAACCACCTAAGTTTGGGACTTATTTGTTACACAGCAATAGCTAACTAATACAGTAACTTGGCAACAACCTTTTTTGCTATCCAAGCTGTGACTCCAGTCATGGGAATCATGAAGCAGATGAGAGGAGACAATTTATGATAGATCAATGGGGAAGAAATTTGGAACATGTGACTTTTCTTCATACCATACCACTTCAAACTGTGACAGCCCCACTGTGTGATCTGGCTGTTGATATTATGGCAGCTTAGATTTTCAGGAAACTTTAGGTTTGTAGGGAACTTTAGAACTTACAAAGGAATAACTGACCAATGTTTCTTGACATTTCCTTCATGATAGCTCTGTGGAGCAGATAGGGCAGATACTATTTTCAGATTTCAATAACTAATTTCTGACAATGCCAGGATTTAAAAGAATGCGTCTCTGATTCCACAACTGAGTTACCCTTAAAGCAATGTCATTCCTACTATGTAGGTGAGTTAAAATCAATTCAGCATATTTAATGGCGAGAGAGAATATCTACACATCGCTTGGTGTGAGGTGAAGAACTCACTGAGTGATAATACTACTTTGATTACATCTATAGTACACCAAGTGCTAGGAATACGGAGGTGCAAATGACCAGGCCCTTCCCCTTTAGGAGCTTGGCCTGGGAGGGTAAAGCAGAACTTGCTGAGGGATATGCTGCCAGGATTGCCTTGAAAAGCTAGCATTCCTGATTTAAAAAAGAAAAAAAGATTAAAGCTGGGAGTGGAATGCCCAGGGCTCCTTATGGATTGATGTTCTATCCCTTCTCAAATGTAGGGTGCAGCCCTCCCACCCCAGCAGACGTGTCCAAATGTGGTTTGCACAGAACAGGTTGCTTGAGGGCGAGAAACACAGTTATCATGGGGGACACCCCACTCTTCAATTTAGGCTATAATTGTTACCTTGTTTTCTTGGATCTAATGTGACTTATTGAGGTGTAAGAATAAGCTGAGACGTCTTAGGGGAAAGCAACCCGGAATGAGCTTCCTACCGCTGTGGGGTTACCCAGGCAACAACCACAGTAAAATCACTTCCCGGGTTCACAGGAATGGGATCTGTGAAGGGTTAGCAGAGGAGGCCTGTGGGAAAGATGGAGTGAAATTGCTCATGCAGTCCAGGGAGGGAAGATGCGGACCTGGGCATTAGAAAAAGGTTTCTGTGACACTAAATGCATCCGGGGTTCCCCAGTGCCACCAAAGGCCTTTCCTGAGGGAGGACAAGAACTGCTCTGAGTGGCTGCTCAGGGTCTTTACAGCACTGAGAATGGCCTGCCTTTGCTTGACTTCTCTTGTTTTTGTTTTTTTGTTTTTCAAAAATGATCACCAGATTCCCATCATTCTTTGTGTATAACACCCATTAAACCAAAGCAATTCTCCAAGACAAAGAAAACACCATGTCTGGGGACATGTGCCAATAAGAAGTACATGACCTCCTCTTGCTGGGGCACTGGTATTTTTAAAGCAACAAATGCATGATATTGAATATCCTATCAAGGCTCCTTTCCAAGCAGATCCAATTGTCCCAGGGAAGAAACAATCTGGGAAATGCCCCCATGCCATTATGGGGCGCCCACAGAAACAGATCATCCAATTCCTCTCCTTAAACAGGAAGGCAGCGGGTAGGGAGTGTGTGTGTGTGTGTGTCTGTGAGAGAGAGAGAGAGAGAGAGAAAACTGTCATGGTGCTTGGAACCCACTGTTGTGACACCTTTTGCTCACCCCTGTAAAAACACAAGACACAACACAACTTCTCTTCAAGAACATTTTTCATCCAGAGGTCTTTGCCTCAGGGCAAAAGCATCACTCTTCTGGCCCCTGCCCAGGCCTTCTAGAAGCTGAGCGCCCTCATTCGGCTAAGTAAATAACTTAAGTGCCCAGGCTGATGAGCAGGTGGAACTGAGCCTGGTTGGGCCAGAGCCCCAGCCATAGCCTTCCTGATCCTTTGTTTTTCAGCAGCAAGTGGAGGCAAAGGTGGAGGAAAGGGAAATGTGATCTCCAGTGAATTGCAGTATTTTGCTTTCTCTAATCCTATTCAGGTGGTGACTGTAGCAAAAAGGAAAAACAGGCCAATATGCAGGATGGATAAAAATCCTGATTATTACTCCCAATGAATGTGCATGGGCTGAATGAATTCAAGTCCCAGTGATTCATTATTAATGGATCCCAAGTTCTGACTGGGATTGGAGGTGGGGCTTACATGAAGGCGAAGAGGGGCAGCTATGTGAGGGTCTCTGCGCTGGAGAGGAGCTGGGCCCGAGCAGGCAGCCTCTGAGCCTGGCCCAGAGCACAGCTGGCTGAAGGCCGGTGCTTTCTCCAGGACTGCCTACTGCACACCTGCGACTCAGCCTCTCTCCTCTCAGAGCTGTGCTGCCGGCGATTTATTCCCCCTTGGAGCCTCCCCAAGGCCAGCTTGGGGAGAGAGTGTGCAGAGAGAGTGTGGGGGGACCTGGCTCCACCTCCTCTGTTCCCCAGCAGGGACTCCCCAGAGAGGAGAGTGGAAAACACCGCCTTGCATGAATAATATGCCTTCTCCTTTGCTCTTTTGAAGAGCTCAGAGCACCCAGCAGACGCGATACTCTTCACCTCAACCACTCCCTGAGGCTAAATCAGGTTTTGATCTACTCCCCCTCAACAACTCCCCCTGCCTTTTTTTTTTTTTTAATAGATGAGGAAATGACAGCCCAGAGCAATTGGTCTCTGGGAGTGGCCTGTGTTGGGGTAACAGGAAGGAGGCAGGGAAGAGCTGATTCAGTAAGAGTCCTTTATGCAGACAGAAAATCTCTTGGCTAACCCCTTGTTCAATCAGCATAAGCACATGGAAGAGACCACAACTATTTAAAAAGTTCTGGTCTGTATAATACCTTGCCCCAGAAGCTGGTCAACCTATAGGTTGTTTGGTTTATTTTAACTAGCAGGAGGCTCTCTTCTGAGAGGATGCTCCTAGGTCATGTAGAAATGTATTTGCAACTCCACGTAAGTAACTAAAGACCATAGAAGGAGGACTGGACCTTTCAAACTGCAGTCCTGCTGAGCTCAGGAAATGAAGGCAGAAATTCCCAGTCAGATGTCATCTGAGAGATGGGGTCCCAGAATTTTGTGCCAAATGGATGGAACCAGAAGAGAGATCCAGGAGTTTCTATGTGGTAGAGCCATCGTTGGGTGGTGGTGACTAGTCTCTAATCCTCTTTGGCCTTTATCATTGGCAAACTCTTGCTAACATTTCTAGCTGCCTTTAGTCTTCCCTTCACCATACTACAGCAAGAATGATCTACTACAAAACCAAAATTTGGTCATGCCATTCCTTAACTTAAAACATTCAGTGGCTTCCTATAGTCTTCAAAATAAAATTCACACTCCTTAGCATAGGATGAAAGACCCTCTCCATCCCACCAGATGCATGAATCTGCCTATTGTTTTTTATACTCTGAGCTCATTAATTCACTCATTTCAGATATTGACTGTCATTAATGGAGGGGTTCATATTTTCCAGCTGGTTCACCAGGCACTAGCTAGGAACATGCCACACACGGTGGCACCTACGGCATGATCAGATGAAGACTCGCTGGAATCTACCTCTAGCCTTAGAACTTACTTCTCTCTCTGCCTATAACTTCCTCTTCTACCAGCTAGCTTTACTGCTCCATGAATTTTCTCCTTCATATCTCCCAAATGGCACTTTTGATTTTCTAATAGCACATGGTGCTGTAACTCATTATTCATCTGTTTTCCCCGTCTGTATATGAGGTTTTTGAGGACAAGGAACTTTGTCTTGTTCATAGCACCCAGCCCAGGGCCCAGCTCACGGTGGATGACTCTTGTGGTCATGGTTCCACAGCTACATTAACTTTGGCCAATGCAGGGGCTGGTGGTGGTGGTGGCTTCAGAAGAGAAACCTCTCAACACACTGTCCCTTGTTTTCTCCTTGGTGTCATATCTAGAAGTGATGCCTGGAACTGCTGTAGTCATCTTGCTGTCCAAGTGGAACTAGCTTCAGAAAGAAGCCAGAAATGAGGACAGCAGGGCACAGAGTTGAGAGTAACCTCAGCCTAGGATCCTCCTACTTCTGAACTTGAAGTTACATCTGGTTTAAGCCATCTGATTCAAGATCTTTCCTTCCCTTTCCTTCTCTTTCGTTTGCTTCTCCTTTTTCTTTTCCCTCCTTCTTCTCATCTCCCTCCTCCTTGTTCTTTTCCACTTATTTATTTATTTATTTATTTATTTATTT